AATTACGCACCATCAATCATCGCAAGTTGCGACACGAGCTTGACGAACGTCGATTGCGATTGCGATGGCGCTCCGATGTCGTCTTCGATGTGGCTGCCGTTGCCGTTGTCGATGACGATGTCGATGATGATGATGATGTCGTTGTTAACTATAACCACAGAAGCACCCGACCACCCACCGAATGACCCGCCAATGAACAGCCAATCCCTGGGTGCTGGCACTTGAATCAAGCGACGCTGCGCCGGCAGCCGCAAGAAAAAATTAAATTAAACTTCAAGTGGCCGCAATGTTGCGTGTGCAACAGCGGCAACAGCGGCAGGTCCTGGCTCCTGGCAGGACGTGGTCGTGGACGTGGATGTGGCCTCATGCAACTCAGTTGTTGACTGTGGGAATCTGCTGTTGTTGTTCCTGCCTTTGCTTTTGCTTTTGCTTTTGCCATAATGCCTATTGTTGGCGTTGTTGTTCTTCCTTCATCTTGTTGTTCCTGTGGCCCGGCGCAATTAACGCTAATTGCGCTTAAGCGTAAGCCGGACTTTTGACTTTTCAACGTGTTTTTCGGCTTGTGTGCAGGATTTTCCCAATTTTCAATTTCTCCAGCCTTAATCTATTCTGTGTTTTCGTTTTGGCTTGACTCTTTGACAAAACATTTACCTTGTAATAGTTTTACAAGCATGGCTTACAGACTAGCATATGATCATATTGTTGATGTCGGAAGTGAACAGATATATGAGATCCTTTACCTGTGAAGGAACCAAAGATTAACTTCTGCTACTTAAATAAACTCTAAACTGATGAGAGGGTTGACATCAAAGTTGAAGAAAAAGTAAAGCTTAAAGACCGCGTGTGAATATCATATATTTGCGGAACTGTGTTTTAAAAACCTTATTTGTTTATAAATGTTAAGGCTGAGGCTAAATGAAATGGCAAAAAATCTACGATTGACTAATTGATGAAGTTGCGAATAGTATAAACTGGTTTAAAATTCGACGTGTTATGATATATTATTATGATATAAAGTGGGCAATACCAAAAAGAATTTGCTATGCCTAGAATCTGATGTATGTAATAGGTTCTATGAAAATATATTACGTTAGCCAACCAGAGCTCATTCTACCATTATTATATGATAATATAGTCATATCCGCGAACTGTTCGGGACGTAGTTATATCGTCATAAAAAAACAGCCTATCTGCTAAAGAGGATTTGAGCTTGACACCTTCGAGTAGAGCCAAAACTTTATTAAACTTTTATAGATACAAATAATACATAGATATTTAAAATTGGATAGCTGGTAGAATGCATCCGACCTAAGATTGAGAAAAATTTAATTAGATCACCCTGTGTTCTTAAAAGCGACGATAAATGACAATAAATATTCACCAGTTTTAAAGAGGAGATAATGAATTTATTTGTGGAATGTATAGGGAGAAGATGTGGAGCTCTTGAAAAACAAAGCATCACAAAGTGCTAAAAGTGCTCAACGCAACAAAGGGTCGCGCATTTCTGCCGAATACTGTACTTTTTAAATACTTCCAGGCTTACAATTGATAACAATAACTTCTCAGAGTATGCATGAATGTAATAATAAGTAGTAGTGAGACCAGCAGGTGTAAAAAACAAAAGTAAGCGAACATTTAATACCCTTATAGACATTTGCCTTACGGTTGCAGTTATGTAAGTATAGTGAAGCTCATAAAGGGTGAGTAATTTTTGAACGAACTTTTCTATGGGCGCAATACGATACAGCGATCCGATGTTGATCAAATATTCCAAATATATAAGAAGCATACTGAAAGAAATAAATGCCGAGTTTGGTCAAGATGTCTTGACCAGCAATATCGTTTCTCATGGAAGAACCTACTTTTCAACCGATCGTTCCTATGATAGCTATATAATATTGTGGTCCCATCCGGCCGCTTCCGACATATATACTGCCTGCAACAGAAAAACGGATCTATGCAAATTTTTAAAGACGATAGCTTTAAAACTGAGAAACTAGTTAGAAACAGGTAATTGCAAATATCCCTTAGCCCCACACTGTGAAAAACGTGCTCTTGATCTCTGTCTGTATCTTTATCTTTATCCGAGTGTGTATGAATACCAATAAAACCCAAGACCATAGCTATAAGAAGGAGTACATTTATGGAAATCCAAAAGATATACCAACAATTGAGTCCCTTACACATTCTGGACATTCTTGACAATTCTAAGGCAAAAAGCTAAGAGAAATTGACATTCAAAATAAATTTTGTTTTAAATATACGCAAAGTGAAAGTATAAAATATCATAAAGATACATTTAATAGACGTCAGTATCAAATATGATAAAGATACATGTAATATAGACTAAATCTATTGATAACCCAATAAATCATAGACTTTTAATAATATTTATTATATATATATATTTAATATTTTATATAATATATATTATATTTGTATAATATATATACTCATATTAATATTTAATATAAGAGCTTCAGTTTTAGCCGATCGTCTCTACGAACAGCGTGTTTCATTCATTAACTTAACTTTCCAATATTTAATGGAATTACCTGACATACTCAGAACTATATAATTACAAATGTGAAATAGAAAACAAAAGAATGTGACCTGTACAAACTTCAAAATCAAAGCATTTCTTATTATTAAGCTGAAATATTATGATATATTGAGCATTCGTTGCATTTGAAACAAGAGATTTTTCACATAAATTAATGCAAAAGCTTAAATGAGTATGAGAAGTTAAGCCAGGACTTGAGGCTTAACAATGCAGTGCAATTAAGAGCTCAATCAAAGTGACTGCGTCCGAGTCATCCCCCCCCCCCCCCCCCCCCCACTACCACGCCCACATTACATTTATGGAATTATTATTGATGTTTGGCATTGACCACCAATCAGCCCAGCACACGCCGGCTCCAATTCCAATACTAAAACCGAGACCAACACACACACCCCAAGCCAATGGCCAATTTTCAATTTGGTTGAGTAGCTGCCGTTGCCGCTCGGACATTTTTGGCTGACCAGTTTGATTGAAACGCAGACACAAATGCTGGCTGCCAGCCATTATATTTAAGCTGCCTCCGATCTGTGCTTATATAAGTAAGTATGCATGGCTATAAGGGGTGCATCATATCCCCCCCACAGTCCATGCCCAATAACGATTCCCACATACTTTATATGTATTATGTACATAGTTGATTTGCTTGCCGCTCGCTCAGTTTTAGAACTTTACATGCACACACACACACACACTCACGCACACTCGCACACACACTTATTTAGACCATTTGCTATGCAGGAGCAGGAAGGCCTGTGATTTCATGCATGTGCCGAACTATGCGCCTCTCCCGCCGAATCATCATCATTGATTTGCAATGCCCGAAATGTGTCTGTCTAATGATGAGGTTTGTTGCTGTTGTGCTATGCCTAACTGCCAAACATTCGGCCGTAGTTCTCTCAGTATGTGTGCGTATCTCTGTGCGTATGTGTATGTGTATGCGTGTGTATGTGTGTGTGTTTGCCATCGTTTTTGGAAATATTATATGCTCATACCTCCGTTTTCGAGTAAATTGTGTAAATATTTGCGCTCGTAAGTGGATTGGAGATGGATGAGTTTATCAACAGCGTAGTCGACGTCGCAGCAATGGCATCCCCATCCCCCATTCCCATCTCCATCTCCATTCCCCTTTCCATTCCCCATTCCCCATCCCAGTTATCATCATATTCACATGCGTAGCCAGCTGACTGATTGCCTTTGCCTGCCGCTAGCTGTCCGAAGTTTGGCTGTCAGCTCGATGCCAACTGCTGCACTGCAGCCCTAAATAACTGATAACTGTATTGGCTAACTTATATCCTGCCGGCTTGCCAAAATGGGGTCTAGAATTTCAAGTTCATAATGCATTTATTCGCTCTTATCCCTATAAGAACTATACTCGGACTAGAACAAGAGTTTATTGAGTTATTTTGTGACTATAAAGAAGCCGACAAAAATCAAATATTTATATTATTAATTATGTTTGAATACAAGTTAAATAACATATATATGCATATTGGGAAATTTGTATTTTTTTTAACTTTAACACGAGCTAATCAAATTAATGCAGGTATTGACCGATATTTGGGCTCTGCATGAAAGTAAATAAAATCGCGTTTAAATAAAACCGCAAAATAAATGGCAAAATGTTTACCATAAAATATAAAGTTGGAAATCCCAACATAAATACGTAAATAGATAAATCGATTAAAGTCATCAGACTTGCCTAGTACATTTATACACTTCCAAACATTATCTAAAATAGGGGTCTTATTATAGTTTCGCTCAATAAACCAGTTTTTAGCAAGAAAATTCAAGCCGTGACTCAGCTAGCAAAGACACACACCAGCTGCACAGCTTGATGACCACTGTGGTTGGTTTGAAAACAAACTATTTTGGTTATTGTTCCCATGTTTCTAATTGAAATAGTTGGGATCACTTTACGTTGCAGTGAAACAATGATTGTCAAACTACAGTTGTGACTCAAATGGAACAGGCTATTCAAACTGTGGAACGAAGTTTTGAGCAACTAAATTATTTAACAGTCGCTCTCAAACTGCGTATACAAGGAGTTTTTGAGATACACTGGTTCGAATTATTATTTTGACGAGGCATATTTGTTAAGAATATTTTGGTTATTAAATAAGTTTTTTAACAATATTGATAACAAATTTTGCTACCCTCTGCAGATGATGGGATGCAAGAGTAGTGTTTGGCAAAATAAATATGCCGACCAGCTTAAGCAGATAATTGTTTAAAAATCTCTAATAGAATATTTTGCATTATTTTGTAGCTGTTTTGTTGCTTGCCATTCTCGGAATATTCAAATTATATAAGTGAAAAAGAATCTCGCAGCCCTTGAAACGTGTTGCCGTGTTTTTCCACAGAAATTTCCCTACGGAATTGTTATTATTTATTCAACCAAGTTATTTTTAGCTCCATTTAATAAAAAGAATAGGCAGTCTTTCATATTACAAATGCATGAATGCAAGTATTTAATATTCGGAACTATGCTAAAGTTCACATGCAAAATACATAGTTACATAAGTTTAATTAAACTATCTAAAAGCTATCACAGGCAGAACAGTAATTACGCACTAGAGAACTTAACTACAACTACTCAACTACCATATGTACCATATATATATATATCGATATATATAGATATATACAGATATATGATGCCTATGGATACATGACGATAGCAGCTCGAAGCGCGCCAGTTTGCACAACTTGCATTTAGGAACTTGAAAGTAACCTATTGTTGGTCGGGTCCAATGCCCTGTCCGGGCTATCATCGACTCGGATGATTGAGTGGCATGTTGAGCTCCCACAGTTTCAAGTTGTTGTCAAGGACTTCGTGGAACCAGCTCTCCTTCTGCGGATGATCCCTGAACGCAACATTAAGTGCCTTTAGGTCCAGCTGCAAGATCGCATCGTTGCCCAACAGACTGTCCAGCGACCTGAGCAGCGTGCTGTTCCCATGCAACTTGAGCAGGGTCACATACTTGACCACGTAGTACTCGTATTGCAGCTTGCGACGGGCCCAGCGCTCCACGGTGGCATTGGCGCTGGCCGAGCGTATTTGGCCCAGATGCTCGGCGAACCACGGCGCAAAATAGTTGTACAGATCGAGCTTAGAGAGGCCGTTGAGGCCCTTGCTCTTGATGCGCTCCTTGATCATTTTGTAGTTCTTGCGACTATACACGAACACCTGGAACAGGGAATTGCCAGTCGTATAGGAGTTCACATAGTGCGTGCCAAATGATTCCATAAATCGCATCGCCGACGTTATATTGCCAACCTCCAGCTGCTGGATGCGTGCTCGCACTTCCGCCTCCAGCGGCTGATCGATTGGGATCTCGGCATTAAGTTTGCCCGTCTCACGGAAGCGCACCACGCGCACCAGCACATAGGAGTAGTCGCCCTGTATGAAGGAGGTGTTGATGCCCAGCTTCTTGGCCGCATTATCCGCGAACCAGCCACCCGTGAAAGCCTCCCACGGCTTGTCCAAACGCTCGATGGTAAAGTCACGGAAATACGCCTGAAACAGTTGGCGGCGATTCTCGCAGAACTCCATATGGAAATCGCCATGGAAAATGCCGGGCGTGGTGTCCTCGTGGCTCTCCGACAGTTGACTCATGTTCTGGAAGGCCAAAGAGATAAAATCAATAATCTAAGAATTCTTAAAAGTAAATGCTAACAAAAGTTTATAAATGTTAATCGATCTTCAACTCCGGAAATGCCAATGAATTGGCATTAAAATGCTTATTTAAATCTACTTTGGTTTGTTTCTTGCGTTTTCTTGCCGCGGCAATTAAGTTTCTTGGAATATGATAAATATTGAAAATACATTTTTTTATTGTTCGGCTTCTCTAATCATAAAAAACCGTTTAATGATCGAAGAGGTGTGACGTCTTTAAATTATAAGACGAGCTAACAATCTATTGGTTATTATTATTTCTTTGCTATAAGCCATTCGAGAGATATGAATAATGCACGAGTTAGTCTGAGGTAATTATGCTTTAAAAGTATTTGAGGAAATGTACCTTATATATATTTCGCGTTGGCTCCTTGAATATCCAGCGCTCGCTATCGGCTTTATCGTCGAAGGGTACCACGCGCATCGATATGCCCAGATAGCCGTAACGTATAAACAAGTTGATGGCTTTGCCAATGCGCAGCTGGGACTCGCGACTGCCGCTGGCCGCCAGCACCAGGAGCGCCAGTGTCAACAGCCACAGCCAGAAGAGGCCCTGCCGCGGGCTCAGGCTCCGGCTCGGGCTCATCGCTCAGCTGTTGTTGCTCGGCATGCAACGGGGGGCTGCAAGTGAAGAGGCAGGCAGGGAACAGGTAAGCACTTTTCTCAGGCAACAACAACTTAACTACTTACGTATATATATACTAGCTAGCCTAGTCGTTTATATTTATTATTTGTTTTTCTACTAAAATACTTATATATATGAGCTGGCGATAATTTATGCAGACTGGCAGGGGCAGGGTCTACCTTTTGAGGTTCGAGCTCTAATTGACCGTGAACCGTTGGCAGAGCTGAACTTGAACCGCGGCAAGGTGAGGCCTGCAACGAGATGAGCCACTTAACTGGCAGCGGCTGCAATTAGCCGCGAATACCCAAAGACATAGACACATCCAAATTGGATCAGGCACAGATCGTATTCGTGTTTGTGTTTTTGTCGTTGTCGTTGTCGTTGTCTCTCGCATGCAAATGATTTCCTCAAGATGGTTTTTTTGTATGTGGCTCGTACACTTTTATAACAGTTTGGCGCGCCACTTTAAACCGGTTGTGTGTGTGTGTTGTTTGCCGATCTCTTGACTGGGACGAGGAAGCCACAGAAGCAACAACAACAACAACAACAACAATATCAATAAACTGGCACAGCTAAGCCGCGGCGAAACGACAACTGCCAACCACATTGCAACTAGTTGCGCAAAGTCGTCAAATACTGCTTAGAATTGCAGTCGTTATCAATAGCAGCCAGCCAGCAGCAGTAATAGCTGAAACGACCGACAGCAGCAGACGTGTTGAACCGGTCAAAATAAAAAGGTTAGCCATAACACTCTCGGGTGTCGGGTGTTAGCCATGTCCAAATGACTCACACCTGCCGCTGCCGCTGCCGCTCGACTGTGCGCTGAAGCGCAACATTTGCCAAAGCGACCGACAATGGTGACGGTCAAAATTTGAGCTTTGGCAGCGAACCATTAAATGTAGGCGACAACAAAGTCGCCAAAGTCGACACATGACGATGCCCTAACTTAAGCACAGCCCCATGCAAACACTGTGAAAGGTGCAAAAACATGCACCTCACCTGAACGACAGACGTACTTTGTGTGGACTACTTGAATCGATCAGCAGTTCGGTAAACAAACGCAACAAATTTGCTGAACTTGTTGTATGAGAGTTACCCATCGAGTAGTATTAATGGAATATTAAACATTTTATCACGGATCATCACCGATCGACAATGCATTGGCAATAATATGGCAACAGAACTAATAAGATATTGAGCATATAATCATTTCAACTGACGAAAAACTAAATGTTCCATAAAAGTTACCCATCGAGTATTACATATGGACTATCAAATATTTTACCATTGATCACCTCTAATGCATTAGCAATTATATGGCAACAAAACTAATACGATATTTAGCATATAATTATTTCAACTGACGAAAAACTAAATGTTCCATAAAAGTTACCCATCGAGTATTACTTATGGATCATCTAATATTTTACCATTGATCACCTCTAATGCATTAGCAATAATATGGCAACAAAACTAATACGATATTTAGCATATAATTATTTCAACTGACGAAAAACTAAATGTTCCATAAAAGTTACCCATCGAGTATTACTTATGGATCATCTAATATTTTACCATTGATCACCGCTAATGCATTAGCAATAATATGGCAACAAAACTAATACGATATTTAGCATATAATTATTTCAACTGACGAAAAACTAAATGTTCCATAAAAGATACCCATCGAGTATTACTTATGGATCATCTAATATTTTACCATTGATCACCTCTAATGCATTAGCAATAATATGGCAACAAAACTAATATGATATTTAGCATGCCCTCGAGGGCATCTCTACAGATAAAACTATAATTATATTAACTGACGAGAAAAATAAATGTTCCATAAAAGTTACCCATCGAGTTTTACATATGGACTATCAAATATTATACCATTGCTTTTATACATTAGCAATAATATGGCAACAAAACTAATAATATATATGGCATGCCCTCGAGGGCAATTATTTTAACTGACGAGACAAATAAATGTTCCATAAAAGTTACCCATCGAGTATTTCTTATGGATTATTGAATATTTTACCTCTAATGCATTGGTCATAATATGGCAGCAAAACTAATACTATATTTAGCACGCCCTCGAGGGCATCTCTATGGATAAAACTATAATTATTTCAACTGACGAGAAAAATAAATGTTCCATTTAATTACATTTAATCGTATTGTCATTGTGTATGCTTGTCATTGCGTTACATAAGAACGACATGAGCTCGTTTTAATGATACCTATTTTTGTTAATTTATTGTCATGAATTCAGATTTTGCAACACAAGTAAACCGAAGCAAGAACAAGCTATACTATATGCATAACTTATGCTCTATTTACTTTCGTAATGCTCAACATAATGCCTAGCTAATGGCTAATGGCTAATGGCTAATGCTAATCACTGTAAAGTTCTGAGTGCTTTCTGGATATTTTGACAACAAAATTTCAATTACAAAAACTGAATTAACAGCAAATAAAAAGGTTTAAGTCTGAATTTTTGCGACTATGCCTGATGCTAATAGAACTTGAACTGGTTTTAACGATACACATTTGTTGTTAATTTCTGACTAATAAATTAAAAATACACCAATAAAAAGCTAAGGTCTTGGGGAAATGCGTGCTAACTAACAACAACTTATAGATATGCGTATATTGCGGCGATCCAACTATGCCTGACTACCCCTAATGCTGACATAAGCTGGCCAAGTTGTCGCCGCCTTATTGATAACTGACACTCATTGACAATTGTGAACAGCTTAAAAGTCATCCCTCGGACAATGCGAATCGGCGGCCTGCTCTCGTGTATTTATGATATAATGATATTTTTGGGTATGCTACGGTGGGCATACGCATAACCTTGTGCAAAATGACCAAAAACCCAAACCGAAACCGAAAGCCAAGAGACGGACACCCAACGGAGATTGGAGTTGGGGACGGAGGAGGAGACGGAGACGGAGACGGAGACGGTGCAAATGAATCCGAAATCAAAAATTCAATGCGCGCGCGTTGTTGACGATTGCGTCCGACTGTTTGACTACAGCTAACCAGATCGGCGGCACGGAGTCAGTCATTTAGTCAGTCCGTCAGCCAATTGGAGATTCTTTATGCGCTCTTTTGGGGCCAGGTCGCGCGGGGGCAGGGACGCGCTCGGTCGCACGAAGGGCACGCATAAGGTCTGCAGTTAATACTTTTCATATATACATATATATATATTCTCCTTGAGCAGCGTTTAGCATAAGTTAAGAGCTCACATTTAAAGTTTTTTAATTCTGTTTTTATTTGATTTTTTGTTTTTGTTTTTTGACTGCACACGAGAATTCACGAGGCGACATTAGGCAGCAGAAGCATCTACACACACACACACACACACACACACACTTACGCACTTCGATAAGCTTTTTGACACGCACTCAGAGGCGCTTAGACTTAGTCTTTTGTATGTAGTTAGAGTACTGAAAACCGATTGGCCGGCCGACGACGACGACGACGACTGCGACTGCGACGGCGACTGCGACTGCGACTTGTTTGCCACTGGTTTGCCTTATCGCGCGGCTAACTGACACCAGGGGCCAATGCACAAGGCACGTTTAGCATCATTAACTGCTCGCGTATACTATATATTCTGTACATAAATACATCTGATGTTAAAGGTCAGTCCCGGCAGCGAACATAATTCTGAAGGCAGCGCAACAGATACTAAGAAAGCATGGCTTAAAGGCGCCGCCATTGACCTTTCCGGTATTTGATAAGCCAGCGCCTGGCGGCGGCGTCGGCGGCGTTGGCGGCGGCGGCGGCGTCGGCTGCCTTTACAGACGCAAATATCAATTAATTTTAAATAGAATTAATTTTGATGGTTATTGCCGTTACATTTGCGCGCACTGTTTTTTTTAGGTTTCAGCAATAGCACACTGAAATTCCGGCTGCCCACACAAACACACACCAGAAGCACACTCAGACAGATACACACACACACACACACATACACGTGCCTTCCAATTGCACTTAAAAAGCCGGAATCTGACGTCGTTGTCGATTCTCAAAGCACTTACGAGTACACCTCGAAAACGAGCCGTGCCAACGGACACACAACTTCAACCGCGCAGACTCGAAGCTAAACTGAAACTGGCTGCCGGTGTGTTGTTCAGCCAGCCAGCAGCTACCCGCTACCCGCTACCAGCTACCAAAACTCGATCGCTTGAACAAGAGAGAATAAGCTGAGCGGCGACGCTCCAGCGCACAGTGGTCTAAAATCGCTTGCGATCGATGGATTTTCGGTAAATAAACACCTGCTGGGAACATCCTGGCGAAGATACAGGAAAGGAATGAAAAATGGATTGACAAATTTTGTATATTACACTAAAAATCGAAACCCTAAATCTTCTTTCGTTCTAAGTTAAATATGTAGAATAATTGAGCAAATATATATTTTCATATCAAAAATATTATAAAGAAAATATTACTTTCACGTTAAGATACGACATCTATATTCAAACCTGAATAGCTGATCCTAATATCAAGCAGCTAAATGCAAACAAACATTTTTTTCTATAATTTATTAAAAAAATAAAACGAAAATTTTTTTAATTTTTGTAGTTCCGTTAAAATTTGCTCCTCGATAACCACTGTTTTTTTTATTATCTAGAGCTGATTTTTAAAATTTGATTTTTGTTTATTTTTCACATTCACAGCAAAAAAACAAACATCTAAAAAAAAAAAAAAATTAAAAAAAAAAAAATTAAATTTGTTTTGTGGTAACCAAAATTAACAAACTGAAATCTAGAAATTTTATTGATCCAACATAATGTTTATAAACTTAATAAAATTCGACTTTTATTTCCACTATAAATATTTCAATTAAAAATGTTAATTTTGTAGGTATTTTTGCCCACTGTGCTGCAGACGCAGTTCAATGACTGACGGGCTGATGTTCTGGTCGCCTGCCTGCCCCTGTCACGCCCACCACGCACACACACACACAGTGGGGCGCAACAACGGTAATAGCACATGACACAAATGTCTAAATGTCTTTGTTGTCTATGTTGTGGTGCATGTGCCATGGCTCCCCCACAGCTTTTCCGCTTATTAATATTTCCCAGCACGTCTGACGCTTCCACATTGGCATACTAAAATGCCCGAGACCCGAGACCCGGGAACTGGGAACTGGGAAGCGCGACCTGGGCCGCAGCCCGTGCCGCATGGGACGAACAAATTGTCGTATAGCAAATTGAAATGATTGCAATTTAACTAAAACTTGCGCAATACTTCAATAGAATTGTGGAGCAATTGCTGAAATTAAAAACTTTTTGACAGTCAACCGCTCCACCCAAAAAAATAAAAAAAAAAAAAAAAACAAGATTCCAAAAAAAAAACGAAAGTATCAAATTCGCATTACCTTGAAAAATATGCACCGAAATTTGGGTCAAATTTAGAGCTGTCGACAATATTTGAAGTTTATTTTTTTTTTTCAAAATGTTTCAATTAGAAACTCCGACCGGATTTAAGCTGTCACGATCTTCGGTGCATTTCGCTGAATTCGGCAGGTCAACCTCTAAGAAAGAACGTACTTGTACTTGTTGCTTCATTTGGCCATTTCCGAATAAATCGGTGCTAAAACTGGTTGAAGTACATATTCAATGTGTTTCTCTTTCGCCTCGCTCACTCACACCTAAATGTACTTATATATCAGATACGTACCTTCGTACCTATTTTGTGCTTATTTTATTTTGAAGTTCAGCTCGTGAAATGTATTGAAAATTCGTTGTTGATTTATTTGCTTTTCGTTTTTATTAATTCTCAATTTTGCATTCCATTTTCGTTTCAATTTATATTTATTATTAATCCCATGTTTAAACTATGTATATATAATGTCATTTTCATCATTCAATTTTAAATGATTTTTACTAACGTCTCAATTATTTGCACATATCGATCTTATTCCATTTATATTTTAATAACAATTCACTCAAATAGCTCAAATATAGTCAATTTCTTTTTTTCATATTGACATTGGGGATCATAAGTATCAGTATTATCCTTATGAATACATCATTATCCTTTCATTGCCATTTGTTTGCCAACTCAGGAGATTAGAGAAAAATTCTAATTCGCTCGAGTTGTTTGTGTTTTTTTTTTTGTTTTTTTAGTTTTTAATTTATGTAATATCAACAATAAATTTTTTACTTAAATTTAATGTGAAATCATTCTTAATATAATCGCTACAATTTGCTCGCATTTGCTATGAAACTAAAAACAAATATTCAAAAACAAAACAAAAACAGTAAATAATCATAATAATTATACATCGTTAGCCGGATGGGGCCCCGTTTTTAACATCATATTCATTCACACGCATTATGCAATTATCGTAAAATATAAGATTTTGATTTGAGCATTGGTGTTGTGGTACACACCCAGCCAACTGGGGGCTGCAAAATATATGTTACATACAATACATACACTTTCTAGGTTTTTTTTTTTTAGGTATAATTACTACTTAGTTAATTTGGCCACTCGGCTGCGTTTGTCGTGGGTAGTAGGTAGTTAAGTTCTTGTTCTTGGGTAGGTTCTTCTTTGTCTCTTTGGGAATACATCTATGATTTACATTGCCTGCTCTCCGATCTCTGATCTCTGCCTTTATCCTTCTGCCTGTCGTCAGCTGTGTAACGCTCGGAACGTAAAATTGTTAGACACAAGCATTGTGCATATATATGTGGTATATGCGTAAATTGTTCAACCATCTTGAAACCATAGAATTGTTCATGTAGTTCTTGTGGGTAACTCCATGTTAACTATTGTGTGGATTGGATGGAGGCTAGTGGTACTCAAAATAAGCTTCGGCTCAATTGGGCTGGGAAGTAAATTGGGTTCAAGTGCTGACTGCCGCCAAAAGTGCTTTATGATTATAAATTTAAATGTTTTTCTTCGATTTTTTGTTTTTGTTTTGTTTTTTTTTTTGTATTTTGTTTGTTTTATTCTAGAAGAATTACGTGTTCGCATTTTTCTTGTCCAATATGTTGTTCTGTTTGTGTTGGCGCTTTTATGTTGGCCTAAAGTAAGAGTGTTCCACGTAGCTTCGAAATCCAGCTGCAGGTTACCCTGAGACGCATGGCATTCAATCTACTTTTGCATATATTTAAGTGGCATATGAGCATTTATGATTGCTTGAATTTTATACAATCTTCAGATAATTTCCAGACTCTGCTTTGATTCATAAGTTTGCACATGAAATTTGGCTCTAACAGCGTATTCAGGAGTCATGGTTAATCTTCTTTGCTTTTGTTGTCTTTTAGATTACGGAATATTTTCGAAAAAAGATCATACATTTAGGTAAATAATAAAAACTAGCAAGTATTTTCCACTATATAAAAGCAGGCGCCTTTTAGCAAACCTGTAAAACTGATGAGCTCGTTTTCTGCTGCCTCAATTTGTTTTCATAGTTTCTACACAATCTTTTGTATACATAATACAAAGCATTAAAAACTTAAATCTGCGACGCTATTGGGTGGTTCTTTTTTTGGTTGTTCTTGATTTTTTTATAAGTTTTTTATTTTTGGATTGTGGGCTCATTGTGTTGGTTCACTAGATTTAGCTGTCTGTTCTTGCTTATTGGCTGTGGGTTAAAAGGAAGCGCTCGCTATATTAATCTTATTCAACATGTCTGATTTTCAATGTATCCAACCTGAGTTTGAGTTGCTCAAAAATATATGTGTATATTTTTTTTGGTTTTAATTGTTATTTATACGAGTGTTTGTTTGTCTATGTGTTTGGTGCGTTGACATGCACACATTTATTTTACTAAATAGTGGTTCAAAGGGTATTTAAATTTACCATTTGTTCTCGTTTTATTTTACTTTTACTTTTACTTTTACTTTATTGTTGCTGTTAGTAAGTGTGTGTGTGTGTGTGTGTGTGTTCATTTTTGTGCTCACTCTATGTTTTTATTTGCCTTGCTTGAATTAAGTGTCGTTTATAATGTTAACGCTGCGGCAAATAATTTACGCTTATATTGTTTGATTGCATTTCCTTTTTAAATTCTTAATTAAATTAATTCAACTTCAACAATTTATTCGCAAATGCTTTTACATTTTTCGCAGTTTCGCTTTTGTGTATGTACGTGACGTGTTATCATTTGCATGATGTATTTTCTTTATTGCATTTAAAACCGTGCACAATATATATTTTTTAAATGTTTGTATTTTATTTTTTGTTAAATTTTTATTTGGGTTTTGCAATGTGTATTTAATTGTTTTTAATTTGTTTGAAACACTTGAAATTGCTCACATCATACTATATTTTATACTCGTATTGTTGCAGTTGCTCGTTATGACTCTTCATGCTTTTCATTTTGTTCTATGTTAGTTAAATTTAATTACGTAGTTCGCTATAATTTACTAACTCGTTTCACGCTCGCTTTCCAAAAGACTTTCAATTAAGTTGCAAATAATATTGTAATACTTTTCAATTTTGTATTTTGTTGCTGGAGTGCATTTGTTGTTTTCTGTTCAAGTTAACTTAGCCACTAACAAGTGCGATTAATGCTGTCTGGCAAAAGAAGAATACTAAGAGAAATATTAAATAAAACAATAACACAAACAATTAATAACAAGCCGCTGTGCTCAGCTTGTTGGAATGGCAAATACAAATAATATTTAACTTATGTTGACTAAAAAAACATCAAATATAAACAATAAAACAGAAACTCAAATTTAAATAAGTATTTTTAAACTTTACAATTTGTCTTTGCGTTGCGACTGCAATTCCCATAATACCCATTCTCTATAGATGTATGTGTGTGTGTTTTGTTCTTATGTAAATAAGCGGGCGCCAGGCGCTCCAATTTGACTGTGTGTGTGTGTGTGTGTGTGTGTGTATGTTTGCTGTGTTGTATTTGTGCCTTGTTAATACTTTAATGGTGTGTGTATGTGTACTCAGTATAGCGCCACATTGGACGCCTTTGTGTATGCATCCCACTCGCAATCGCAGCCATCAAGACAGTCGGGGCATTCCAGCTCACTGTCTTGTCAGTAGAGCCAAGAGACGGGCACCCATTGTGGTGTGGTGTGCACACGTTCAATGGCCGATTCCAGTGTGGCAATCGTCTCGCTTATATCGTTGTTCACAATGGTCAAGTCAAAGAAATGTCCATACAGTTGACGCAGCATATCCGATTCCTTGGCCAGACGCTCCAAGCTGCCATCGTACTGCATTTCAAAATACAACATTTTCAATTACAAATGCTTAATTAAAAACTCATGCCACACTCGAGCCTTACATCCGCAATGTTCTGCAGCGATGGCGCCGCTATAAACACCACATAGGGCGTGAATTCAGCTGTGCGCAGTATTTTAAGTGCCTGCGGCTCCACATCTAGTATTGCCATTTTACCATCGGTATGTATGCGTCGAATTGTGTCCAGCTTGGTGCCATACATCGCATCCTCATGGGTTCCTATTCAACATAACATTTCGTTATAATGCGAACTAAATGTGGGCAAAGAGTTTTACCATATTCCAAATACTCGTTGGCACCAATATCGGCCATCATTTCGTCATGTGAAACAAAGTAATAGCTGCGTCCGTTCTCCTCCTCGGGCTTAGCAGGTCTCGTTGTATCTGTTTATTGAAAGAGTTTTTATTCACTATTTTTCTCTGAATCTGGCTAATTAGTTTCACTTACGTGGTATGGGATAGGCGTACTTATCGGGATACTTTGATATTAAAGTATTCTTAATATGCCGCCTGCCCACGCCATGTGCGCCTAATAGCACCAATGTCTTCCTCTGAAAGTTCGGATCACCCACTAAATTTAAAGAATAACATATTATTAACTAGCTCTTTAGTTTGTGAATTAAATATTACCTGGCACTTTGACAACCTCTTCGTATGTGACCACATCAAGCGTATCGAATATGGCATTATGTTTTGCCAAATATTTGTCCCGGCATTGCTTCTTCTTACGCCCAAAGATGGAACAGTTTACTGTGGGTTACATAGAGCAATATGTTTTAAATCTATTGGCTGTGCTTAACATTGTATTAATTTGTAAACATGCATTGCATGCTGTAAATAGGTAAATGCAAACAAGCTTCACATGGCGAGTTAATTAGTCCTTAATTTGATTCTTATCCCTACTTTGTACAATTGTACAAAGTATGTACTTATCCGACAATTTTTCAGCAACACCAATAATATAGCATGCACTGTCTTAAGTCGAAGCGGATGATAATGTATCTGTATATGAGCTGGTGTTTATTTATATTAAAGCGCGTCTACTTTTAAGTATGTGCGTGATGTTCATATAATGTCTGTACTGCATCTTGAAACGGCATGATAACATTTTAATTGATGGCATTGAACAGGCGATAATCAGCTGTCGATACTCTTGCAGAGGGAATTATTAACTATCAATTGAGATATATATAAAAAAGCGTATAATGAATCCTTCGCTTATACAAAAATTTATACGAATGAATACATTTTACGAATATGAATAAATATTATAAAATAACCGATCGGAAATGTATTAAGCTAAATAATTATGACTTACAAAAACAAGAAATCTTATAACATAAAGATTTCTGTATTCAATATCAAATAATAAAATTGTAATTATTATTTGAATATATAAATAAATAATAAAATGATATTTTCACTAGAACAATCATGTCTTATATCAATCTTTAGTCTCTCCAGAAGCTCTGCAAGGGTATTTAGTAATCGGGGCACCGATTATACTTAATGTTTGGATGACATGTTGATACTTTTCTAGGGTATCGGGTGTGTTGGTGCCTTTTGAAATGAGCTTTGCTTTGCTACGTTTGGTGATGAACGAAATTTGAGTAAACAGAAAACTCAAGAAAAAACTTGAAAACTTCGGTTGTTGGCAAGTTGTCATTTTATTTATTTGGGTCTTATGAGTATTAGCTACCTGTGGATCCATCACACCCATCTGCGTGAGCGGAACATCCAGCACCCGGCTCTCCTGCATAACATTGTTATACATATACATACATACATATATATATATAAAATGTGTAATTGGCGATTTCACGAGATTGATTATAATATACATATATATATATTGACGTAGGGTTTGTGTTGATCTACGTGTGTGTGTTGCTTACACTTAAGGGCTTATAAAACTCTAGGACTTTTGGCTTTCACAGTTCCCTAAGGGACTCAATCATAACTTATTGCAGGATCATGGCCGAACAATAAAACTTGAAGCGCGATTATCTCAAAACTTTATTTTCGAGCTGACCTCGCCAATAACATGTACAATTTTCAACCGATTCAGTTTAAATTTTACATGCACCTTCAAAAATAAATTCTTTATAGAAGCAGCTGGTTTTTTTTTTTAAATTGCATAGTTATTTTTTTATTAACAATTTAATGACCCTATATCAAAACATCTTACGTGTTGATTTAAAAGATATATTTTTGATTAGGCTAATCAGCTGAAAATTGGACAATTATTGCTGCATTACAAGAAACATATTCTATACTTCATGAAATCTATAAAAAAAAAAACTTCTTTTATTAGAGTTTAAGTGACTTTTTGATTTCTTTAAGCGAAGTTCACATAAGCAAATATATTTTTGGACTCTAGAGTGTTATAATCCCTTTTTGGTGTTGTTTAGTAATATTTGGACGAAATTTAGGGCACTTTTGGATCTATTTAATTTTTTTGTCATGCAATTCTCTGGTGTGAGTGTTCATGTGTGTATATGTACGGTTGTGCGTGTGTGTGTGTGTGTGTGTGTGTGTTTGCTAGTCGTAAGCTGGACGCTGCCTTTTGGCAGACAGAGACAGAGAGAGAGAGAGAGAGCGCGCTTTTATGATGTTTTCTGGCTAACTACGAATTCATCACACACTTTCCAATATTATAGAATTATAAAGCATACGATTATAAGTATTTAGCATCCAATTACACATAGAAATAGTACACATAGTTGGTTTACATGTATTTATGTAATTGTTAAATAGAGATTTCGGGAATTGTGCACTTACCCTGCTCCTGCTTGGTCTTGTCGACGGTCTGACAGGCAATGCGCCATTCCTGCAGCTCAGGTGATGGTATCAGGCCCGCTGAACCGCCCACCGTATCAATTCTCGCCTGCCACCAGTGATGATCATCCTTGCTAATGATCTAAACCCCGAAATGTAGCCATAGTCATTAGTTGAATGCCATCGGTCTTGGGTTGCGGTCTCCTAATGCACCTACCTGCAGTATGTCGCCCACTTGGAATGCAATGCCCGCCTGGGCGCATGGTATAAGCTCATCATCCAGGGGATTATAATCGAACTGTGCACGAACAAAAATCTGCACAACAAATTGGCAAATGCAAAAAAAGAAGGAGCAGACAAAACAGAGAACACCTTTTAGTTGTTGATATTGCAGAGGCTTTGCCTTGAAACCGAAATCTGACTGAAGCCAGAGACGGACAGCAGTCCAATTTTCGCCTTTAGATTAAAACTAATGAGCAGAGCCAATAGCGATGTAAATGCCTATGTTTATGTACACACATGTATGTATATGTATTGGTATGGTGTGTGTGTTGATTTGTTTGAACGTGATACTTACAAGCACTGGAGCAGGTCTTATCCTGAATAGCTGCATGTTCAGGTTGGGAGAGGAGCAGTGAAGAGCGAGTAGGAGTCATGTTAATGTTAATGGCAAACAAAATAATTGCTTAATGGATTTCAAACAAACGAATACTGCATTGATGCATTCAAAGTGATTCTTTTTAATGATTACGTGTGCTTTATGCTCAATGCTAGTTTACAATCAGAATGCGCAAATCTCTAATTTACTTTCAATTATCAAGGCTGACAAAATCAAATCAAGTCTTCCATAACGAATTTCATAAAGCAAGCTATTGATTCATTTGCCTTTATTTTATTTTTTTTGCTACTCTCATATTTGTGCTTGCTTTAGATAATATCAGTTTGCATGTAAGTTTCTTATTCTAGCAAATTATTTTGTAGCTATCAATGCAAGAAGAAAAAAAATAGAAATGTTTTTTGTAAAAATTTGTCACATTTGATTGACAGGCTTCATTGTGAAAATAGCATTGACCGAAATCAGTTTAAATTCGAATGGAAACTGAAACCTAAATGAAATGAAATCGATTGACCAAAGTTTATAATTTATGTATATTCTGGTTTAGCCTGCTTGCCTGTCAAAATATTTAATTTAACCCCAGGCTAATCATATTTATAACAATAAAATCACATTGCAATAAATTGTTCGAAATAAATCTAATTGCAATTTAAATGAATTCGTTTAAATGAATGCACAAACTGTTAGTAAATAATGTTGAATGTGTTAAATATGAAATTCTAGCGATGCCAAAATTATATATTCTAATAAAAAACAAGTAAGAGGTTCTAGTCGGGAGCTCCCGACTAAGGGATACACTGAACCCTCTTCTTCCAACAGGCGATAGGTATAAAATGAAAGATACTTGATAAATATATACACTATTCTAGAAGCTACATGTCAAGTTTGGTAACTCTAGCTCATATTATTTGCCGAAATTGCTCAAAAAACAGGATTTCAATATCGATTTTTACCGATTACTTGGGGAAAGTTATCGAATATCGGAAACAAACTCAATCTGTGCGGGGACTAGGAGGACCTACAGCTAAAATTTCAAGTCTCTAGATCTTACAGGTTCTGAGATCCTTGCGTTCATACATACGGACAGACAGACGGACATGGCTAGATCGACTCGGCTATTGATGCTGATCAAGAATATACATATATACTTTATGGGGTCGGAGATGCTTCCTTCTGCCTGTTACATACATTTGTACAAATACATAATACCCTTTCTACACATTTTCAATGGGTTCAGGGTATAAAAAAACTCCAATAATAGTTAAATGTCAAACTTACCTCACAGGGCGGCGGTGCGCTACGGTAAGAAGGAACTATTTTAAAGGTAACGGAACCGCGTGCCTCGCGCTGCATAAAAAGCAATTGTTAAGATAAAAGTTGGCTCGAAATTGAGGTTGAAAGCTTACCAGCATTCGTTGCAATTGACCCACCGACTGATGCTGCACCGGCTGGCCATTGATCTCCCGGATTTCGTCGCCCACGTGCAGTGTGGCCTGTCTATGTATCATGCCGCCGTGCATGATGCGCGCCACAATGCAGCGCCCGTCCTCGGTCATTTTAAGCGTGATGCCCTGCAGCAAAGTGTGCTTAATGGTTAAAACAGTTTTGAGTATCAAATGTTTAATTTACCATGGGCTCGTCGGTGTTCTTTTGGAATTGCACAAGACGCACGCGTGTCACATGCTGCAGCTCGCCGCCCTCGACGTTGTCCAGCTCGTCGCCGTTGAGGAAGGGCACCATTGGCGGCGGTGTGACGCGCAGCGCCTCCTCGCCATAAACATCCCGGGCGACAACATCGTGTGTATGCAGCAGCGCCTGTCGAGCAACAACCAAAAAAGAAACACATTCTCTGTTAGCCTTTTCTTGGCCGAACGAAGGCGACTCGCAAAATTATGGCCGGCAATTAAGCTGCCAGTTATAATGCGGCTAAAAGCCATTTCAAAGCCACTTTCTGTGGAAATTAAATTTCCGATTTGCTATGCCTGTCCCATATATCATAACCCAACACACACACACAAACACAGACACGGGTTCAAGCGCTGTCGAACGCCCACACACAACTTGTTTACAACATTAACTGGCAACATTTGTTGCCAAGCCAACGAAAAGGCACGCACATCAAGCCCATGATCCCGCAACCCAACCCCGGCAGCCTTCCTCCCTCTCTCCCAAAAAACAAAAAAAAAACAACAACGAAAATCACAAAAATTTATTACTGGCGCTCAAGTGCAGCATAGTCTGCCTCGGAGCGGAGCCTATGAGAGCAACGGCTTGAGTTTATACAATTTCGTTTTTAATAAATTATGTTTAATAACACTTTGAATATGCTGTGGAAATTAATTTGTGCGGTGTCCCCGACAAACCGCAAGATAGCAAGACAAGGCACAGAATTTCTAATACCCACACACACACACACACACATACATACGCAATGGCAGGACCTCGACTGGTCATAAAAAAGGATTTTAATGCGTGCCCATGCTGTGTCGCACGAACGCCGCACACCCACACACACACACACACACTGACACACTCACTCTGATATGCACATATACATATGCTAAGTATAGCTGGGCCTTGTCAGCGCTTTTGTGGGTAGCTCCATAAAAAAAACGCAATTTTCATCGTTGATGATTACTCAATGCCACAAGCACACAAACAGGCTTACACACACACACACACAGTCACACACACACACAGAGAGAGAGAGAGGCACGTACGCAGCGGTCTCCCTCAGACGCCTCACTCGAGTTGCACGTTTCATTTCCGCCACAGACGCTGACGCTGACGCTGACGCTGACGCCGCTTTAACATTACAAAAGCAGCCGCAGTTGCCTTTTAGTTGGTCTGTCACTAGTTGGTCTTGTATTTGCTGACAGGCGGGCGGGCGGGCGGGCCGGCTGGCCAGTCAATCGGGTGGGCGGGGCTGGCAAAACACAAATTTTTCGTTGCTCGCTTTTAGGCTGCTCAAAAGTAAATTGGCTTTTTCAGTGCCTCTCCCTCCGTTCGCCTCTCCCTCTGCGCTGCCCACTTCTTTGAGTACTTTGGCAAAGCCTAAGCAGCTTTCACACACCGTCACTGTCAGTGTCACAGTTCCAGTCACAGTCACTGGCAGCTTCACAATCACCATCACTTGGCAGTCGCCTCGTGCAAATATCCGCAATGCCGAGTGCATAAATATTTCATAATGCTTTTAACACACTGCGATTTGCTGCCAGCGCGCCAAAGTAAATCAAAATATGAATTTATTTAGGCATGTAGACTAGGCATAGTTACAGCATTTGCTGTCGATGGGCTGATTGAGTTTGTGAATTTGATTCACAACTCAATTTTCTGGCTACCTAATCGATTTGGGCCAACACAAAAATGCCTCTAATGCTCCGCCATTGCTTGCATATTTCCAACTAACAAATCGTTTGATATCATCAACATATTTGTAGCTGGATCTAGCCAGCTCGACGTTTTGTGTGTGTGTAGTATTTGTCAAATGCAAACGCAATTATTTTTACTGCTGCCAATATATTGTGCTATAAGAACGCATCAAGACGAATAAATGTAATTGAATTGCCACGAGGTCCATTTAACCTCTATGCCAAATCAGAGTTTCTTTACATTGAAGCAAATGTTTTACCAGCTCTTTAATATAAGATTTACACATGAATATACATATAATCATTTATATACATATATCATTTATATGAATCTTATGTACATATGTAAATATTATTTCCATACATACTGACTTTTAGCAAATTGATCTAAGATTAAAATTGTTTTTTTCATCCCACTTTACGATGTATGTAAAAGCCTGGCAGCTCATGATTTAAAGTATTTTAACAAGTAATTTATAGACAAAACATAAACTACTGACTGCTAAGGTTATATGGTATAATGTGCTCCGAAAAAATTAAGTTAAATGTTCCTTAGTTTATTTTTATGTTTTAAAAAAAACTTAAATCTATAATCCAATCGATAATGTATAAGAAAAATGAACTGTTCTTTTAACTTTCTTCCTGCGATTTTCAATGTATGTTCTTGCCAGTGTTAATAGTCTATTACTTTAGTCGTTTGTCAACATTGAACATGAATTTAGTGCTGCCACCCTTTTATAAATTTTACCACCTTTTAATAAATTTTACATCTATCAGCACTGTTTTCTGCTAGTACACATGAAGAAACTCTTTTAAAGGACAGTTAATTCAGCTATGAAAAATTTACCGACTATCTTATCGATAATATCTTGTCAAATTTTTTTAAGCTTGATATAAAGTAAAAAGGTAAAGAATTACTTTTTTTAGAGGCCATCAAGAATGCGAATTGTGAATGAGTTAACATTAAAAACACATTGTTTTAAAGTTTGTGAGTTTAGCTCGTCTGATATTACACATATTTAAATTACATTCAATATAATATATATATTCAGCATATTTGCCCTGCACAGAATTGCATTTATTGCTGAAATATATATTCAAATTTAATTGCCATTTAATGTGAAATGGTTATAAATTACAAAATGTTTTCGCTTTAAACAAATTTTCCGTTAAACAATGCCTATTATTTAATTAATTTTCAAGTAACAATGATATTCACGTTTGTATTTTACAAACTTTTGCTGATATTGTTACAAATAATTAGAACGAACATTAAATAAATCAGCTTAAATGAACATATGTAGAAAAAACATGCATAAAACATTTTAATTAAATGGAAACTTGAAACAAATAAACAAACAAAATAAAATATATTTAAATCTGAGTGGAGACTGCATTAAATAAAATATGCATGTTATTTCATTTAATTCTGTAAATAAATATTGTTCACGTAAATAAAAACTCGAGAGGTTTTTTTTTTTGGTTACCATGCATCAAGTTTTTAATTTTGCAAACTATTTGGTGAAGCTTTCAGACAAAAATTCTAATTAGTGACAGCATAAAACGAAATGAATTTTTCAGCAGAGGGTGGAACGCTGGTAGATACCCTGTAATCTGGTCTATTTTATGGATATACAAAACTTGGAATGTTTAGTGAGAAAAAGTTAAAATATTATGCATATTTACAGAAACTAGACAAATACAAACAGAAATGGGAAAATAACTTAAGCTTATCACGCCTGTCAATAATATACTTTATTATATCAAATAATTATATTTAACTATAAGAAATTAACCGGCGTTGTCAGTTATAAAATCAAAACTAAATACAAAATCGATTGGGGTTTTTTAAAATGCGTTTTTGGATTTTCAAGCCAGCTTTGGCCCTTATATTCCCCAACTTGCGGTCGAATTTCACAAAATCCAAATCAAATCCAATATATACTCCTATATACCTTCGCTTCTTACTTATCTCAGCAAACACAGGGTATACAAAATCCAATATTATTTTGGTGTGTAGACAGACAGCGTTTCGTAATTGAAAACTGTACGAAATGCAGCAAATATTTCTAATAACGGCTTATGCAAGGTTTTTAGTTTTTCTTACATGGAATTGCTGCCTGGGCGAATTTCAATCTGATTACCAAAACTTCCATCATGAAAAAAAAACCAAGAGAGCTTAAACGAATTCCCAACCTCACATATTCCATTCGTTGCAGAAAATTCGACTAAATAAATGGGTAATACAATTTCCGCAAACGCAATTACGTACTTGAAATAAAATTAGCCCAACTCGGCAACTATTTAAATGTGGCAGGAGGCTTAGGCAACAGTGCGAGATCGGAGCGCGGGTGAAGCAGGGGAAGGGCGAAGGGGGAGTGGATGGCCGCCCAGTTGGCTGTGCAACCGCCAGAAGTAAGCGGTAAACAACGTAATCTGATTTCAACTAAAGCACGCCTCCCGGCACGCCTCTCGGGCAAGAGCGACAGGCCCATAGTTAACACCAAGTTGTTGGGACCAATAAAACGCTAAATTTAATAAATGCTTGACAGGCGAAAAGTTGAGCAGTTAGGTTTAATGCCTCATTAGTCGCCGCCGTCGCAGTTCCCCGCCGCCGAATCTGAATCCCGAGCCTGTGACATTGATAGTCAGCGTCAGCAACAAAGTTTTGGGCCAAGCTAACACACACACACACACACACACACACACAAGGAAAGGCTATACAAACATGTTCGGCTGGTACGTGTGCCTGGCCCGCAGCTGACTTTGATTTCCATGATTAATACTTAAGTGCTTGTTAAAGTTTTACCAACACACACACTCGGTCAGCAGCTGACACCCCCCCTCCCCCTGCCACCCCTCTGCTTCCAGCTGCCCAACGAGGCGCACAATATGCAGATATTAGTTTACCCTATGTATGCTGGCCTGATCCTAAACAATCGCTTGCTCCGCATTTGGCTGTTTGCTTGGCTCCCCGGCTCCGGCTCCATCTCCGGCTCCGGCTCTGTGTGTGTATTTTGTGCGAACTTTGCTGAGGCAGCAGGGCAAGGCCCAACATAACTTAAGACACTGGTTAACAGTGTTGAGCAACAGCTTGACTCTGAGAGAAAACATCCAAGCGTTTATTAAACGCCTGCTCACTTGTTTTGGCTTTGTTTCATTTAAGTTAACAACTTTTATTGGTTAATTATTGAGCTCTGAAAATATGTATCCAAGTTAAGCCCATAAATTTAGGTTGTTTCTTCTGACCCCCTCCGAACCCTTTTGATAATGGGGAAAACAAGGTCGAAAAGGATTTGATTTAAATGCAGAGCGAAGACGTTTTAAACCAAGCCAGATTTGATCTAAATGGAAGCTTGTAAAAAATAACAAACAAAATACATTTAAATCTGACTGGAGACTGCATTAAATAAAATATGCATGTTATTTCATTATATTCTTTAA